CAAATTTTAGGAAAGAACCACTCTCTCCATATTTTGAACAAAACTCTTGGGAGGACCAATAGTCTCCTATATACCTTTAATATAAAAAATAGAAGTCGATTTGATATTTAGTGATTCAAAACAAAATCTACAAAGAAAACAAGATGAACCTTCCTAAACTACTGTAGCAGAACATTTAGTACATTTTCCACTCCCCATTTTTAGTTGCTCAACAGGGCATTTGTTTTATCGACCAAGAATTTCTTTAATCGACTATACAGCCCTGAAAATATATGTGTTGAAAATAAATGTGCGTGTCATCTTAACGCAGCACATTTAAGTCCGGACACAAGGCCTTATGTAACAAGGGCAGCTTCAGGTCAATTGCTTTGCAGGCGTCAGCTGTGAATGCCTCTCACACAAACCAACCAGAACAAAGCCAAAGCAGTGCGTGTAAAAAAACATCGCCCCAAAATTGATTTAGCGTTGCACGGCTCAGTCTTCACACCAACGGCAGCGGAACCAAAGCTCTGGGGTTGAACGCTATGAACTTCTCTCTGATGGAACGACTTTGACACCGCGTTGGTCTGGGGCGAAACAAGACATAAAGGCCCCAATAAGCCGCCCGCGTTCACCTCTCCAGTCATGTGCCGAGTCTCATGCATGCTAAACACCACGCCACACTGCACCGCGCACACATTAGCAGCAGACAGAGGGCCCTGGGGAACCTGCGTTTGCTTTGTACGAGCTTGAATACGACCATGCAGCTTTAAAACACAGCTGTAATAGGCTGGGGGCGACAGGGAGCGCTGGAAAGGACACGACAATATACAGCTACACCACAATGGCTTCTGGTGTATGTTTGAAGTTTGAGGCTAATCTGCAGCTGGCGTCCTGTGTTTTCAAATGATTTGGGTTAATTCTTTGAAGGCTGGATTAAATCTATCCTCTGGGTTTGAGCTGTGTCCGGTTTGGAGCTCTTTCCTTTCCGATGGCTCTGCTTGTGGATTCCTATGAAAGCAGGACGTTTAATGGTGAGAGAATAATAAGAGTTTCCCAAAATAGGACTTTGGTAGAAAAATCAGGTAGACTCAGATCCTCTGCTAAAAATAAGAAACGCAACTATTTGAAGTGGATTTTTTTTTTATCATGGTCAGTTTGTTTCCTATTTCAAAGGATGGGTTTATATGTAACTTCACAGATCCAGGTCTGATTGGAAGAATATCTGAACTCTGAACATTGTAAAGCGCTTTGGGTGAACTTGGTCTGTAAAAAAACGATTTACTTTACAAATAAACATTACTCACTTACTTAGTTACTTAATGATTAAACTACCAAATGATTCCGTGAAACCACCAACGTCTGTTTTATTTCTATACTTCATTTCATTTCAATATAATTTTGTATAGCCCTACATCACAACAGCAGTCATCTCTAACCCTATCCCTCAACAACGGATCAGAGAATCAAACAATAACAACATGCAATAATAACTAACACACAGGAGCTATTGGTCCTTAGGAAACAGGACGACCAATGTCCATAATGTTCAGAAATGTCAAAAGATCAGTCAGAAATCAGAGCCATGAGAAAGTACATATATAAAATAAACACTACTCAATCTATTAGGTTTGGCCAGAAAGACCAACAGAATATTTAAAATCTAGTCACATATTAAGCAAAAATCAACCAGCCTTTCTATCCACAATTATCCTCCCATTTGACATGTTGACCTCCTTCGCTGAGACGTAGCTGAGACATAACCCGACCTCTGTTTCCCAAATTGGCCTGAAATGAATGTGCTGCACTGCTATGCGTATGTGTCAAGGGATTAGCCTCCAGCTGCAGACGGATTAGGCACGTGCACGAGGTCCAAGCACACGCACAGACAGTAGTATTCTCTCACCCAGGTCAAACTGGAAGGTCTTCAACTGTAGTAATAACTGTCTTAATACTGAGGAAGGAGAAGATATCAGATCAGATCAGATTCAGATCAGATTCCTTTATTTGCCATTTGCAGTAAAACCACATTGGAAAAACTGTGCAAGACTACCCCAGTGTGCACCAGACAGAGGCGGCACACACCAGAGCTCTTGCCACGGCGCCATCTTTACGGCGCCATGCGTATATACATTTAAGAGAACTTTTTTACAAATGAATATCCATCCATTCAGAGAAGCCATACAACATTCTAACTGCTGCACGATTTTGGTCAAGTATGATCTAACATAATTGATGGACTGTAGGCATTTACGGTGGATATGGCTTTTGAACCCTGTGGCCTGTATGGTTATGCGGCCAATGTATGTATTTGTATTTTATTGTGGGACAGAAGAAAGATTTTGTGGTTTGTGTTTATGTGAACAGCAGAGAGCCGACACGAGGAACTGCAAGGAATTTTACAAATAAGATTAGAGCCGAGCACAGAGTGTGTGGACTTATTAATTTGACTCAATCCAGTTTTAGTAGCTATCGGACGCTTTGTTTTTCTCCATCGGCTGTTTGTTAAGTGATACATTACAAGCCTATATATGTGGAAAAAAATTACAGGTGCGCTTAATAGTCCAGCAAGTACTATAAATTAACTGTATTTTTTCCCACAACATTTGCTGACACACGATCCCTAATTCACAAGAAAAAAGAGATTTATCAAAGATATTACACACAAACAGGCGAAACAATAAGTGTTCCAGTGTGACTAAGATCATCACTCAGATTGTTTAAACAAAACTAAAAAAGCTATTTAAAATGTTATTGTGATCTCTCGCTCCATTTCTAATGGTTACTTGAGAAGTGTCACTATTTGGCATTCTGGACTTTTCTCTCTCTGATAAAGGCTGAAACTGAACTAATGAAAAACTGATGAATGAACATTACAACCGAAAATCTTGGAAATCAGGGGTCTACAGGGTTAGTATTTTATGTATTCATATCTAGACTATTATTTTAAGTAATAACATTTGTGTGATAACAACATTTTATACTTACAGAATACACTTGGAAAACTAGAATATCGTTCAAAAGTTCATTTATTTCTGTACTTCAAATCAAAATGCAAACTCAGTATTACACACATAAGTAAATGGACTATTGGAAAATATTCTAATTTTTTGATTTTCTCTGTGGACAAATCTCAGGCAAACCAACCACTCACATCTGTACTTAAATATTTATAAACTTGTGAATATAGGAAAATCCTGGTTATTGCCATCTATCTGAAATTGTATGGACACAAAATAATGGGTATTGTACCATTCCGTCTGCAGAGCCCTAAGAACAAGAGCGGAGACTGGCCCTGAGACAAATCCAGTCAAATGCTTGTGTGAGTGATAAGGGGAAAGGTAATCCAATTCAGTCTGTTATTGAGATGCAAATAGAGTACCAAGGCAATTTATAGCCTGTATTATTAAAGCAGATTGGATTTCGACTTGGGCAGAGTAAACTATTGTACCGTCACCTATAGATGCATTGCATTCAGTGGGACAGGGTGATATAAAAACTGCTGAAGCCAGTTTGTGGTCCATCGAATTAATGACAGGGGAAAAAAGTATTAAACTTTCAATTATTGCAAATATTTGGTAATAACAGGAAGACATTTAATATTGTTTTATCATGTAGTAATCTGATACAGGTATACATGGATCATTCACAACTGTATTTCCAATAGTTTAGTTTAGCTTATTTATTTAAAGGGACAGGGACGGTGTACGCTAAACATTAACCTCAAAGGGCAATATTGGTTTATGGCAACAATAAAATATAAAATTGTCATAAATTTGAAACAGCTTTGCCTATTTTTGGTTGAAATTTGTGCAGCGACTATCCAGGTGAAACTCGGAAAATTGATTTAAAATTCAAAAGTCCATTTACTTCTGTGGTTCAACTTACAGTATGAATAATTTATAGAATAGAGGCTCGCAGCTTCTAAAAAACCCAAATGAGACACATTTTCAACATTTGAATATAATGAATATGGACTGTAAGCCATAATCATTACCATTATAGCAAAACAAAGGCTGGGCATATTTCATAGTGTATGGGATTATGTGATGGATGTATGGGATCACATATTTAGAGAAAAATAAATGAAATTCTTATTGAGGTATGGTATTATGAGTTGGTTTGGTAATCTGATTGTAAAATACAAACTACAGATTCAAAAACTATCTGAAAACATTATGAGTGTCACTGTCCATACACAGACCCCAACTCTCAATATGAACTGATGCATTCTGGGAGGGAGTACAGGATTTCCCTGTGTAGAAGCAACAGGTTTAAGACTCCTCTGTGCCTCAGTCCATAAAACTCTAAAATAACATTGAGTGATTGAACAGATGTATCGACCTGTGACGCTTTGTTTTGTCCATGTTTTTGTCATCTGTATGTCTATTTTTTCTTGTGTACACATAGTTGTACTGACCCCCGGCCCCAAGACAAATGTATTCCTCGGAGATGAAGTAAAACTTGAAAATAAATCATTTGGAACAAAGAACAAAATATAGATAGTTACTCCATAATTAATGAACCGAGTAATATACCATCTGCCATACACTGCAAAAAGTGATAAAACACGAGGTAATAATTGCTTGAATCCTATGTTTTCTTTTCTTAATTAATTCTGAATCTCTTAAAGCCGTTTTTCAAGAACTTTTTATTTATTTTCTCATTCCAAGGGAGACATTTCTTAAATCTTTACAGTACAATAGAATGTAGCTTGTTCCATTGGCAAATCTTATGTTATGGGAGTCAATATGCGCTCAAATTAAAATATATTTTGCCATATTTGAGGATTTTTTGACTTATTTTTAATTACTTTTTGCATCATACATTCAAACTAAACGATAAGGGAACGATGCTTATTGCCAATGTGTATTCAGTACGTTTCTCCATATAGTTTACATGTACATATAGTGTTAATCATAAAACCCTGCTACTTCCTCTCACACTAATTATAACAGTAAAACGTGATATAGCGACATGACTGTAGGAGTCTGGAGCCTCTTTCAGATGTCTCCAGTGACTCACTCGGGGGCTGCGGTGGGGACACAGGCTGCCGTCACCCTTCTGTCGCTCAGGCCTCTCCAGCTGGCCTGTGATCCCAACACAAGACCCACAACCGTCGACCCACCAAGACTCAGTGAGGAGGATATTATAATGGACACCAGGGCTTAAGCCAGTACAGTGTCAAGTTAATTTATCCCTGACACCCCGGCCGTCATCTCCGAGCTAAAATGATTGGATAAGTCCTATAGAGGGAGTGAAATGAAACGGCAACATCTGTCGGAAGGCTTACGTGGCGGGGTAAGCTGATGTATAGCAGCTGGGCATTAGTGTACAATGGCTTTTCTGACACTATGGAGGAAGTCAAGCTAGTAAATACAATCAGCTCTGGAGAGACGCATGCGAGACAAAAGCAAAGATTAGGAGTTATCAGTATCCTTGTATGTCTGTTTGATATGAAAGTCACTGTTGGGGTAGTGCATTTCTTGATTTTTTTTTCTACAATTTACTTATTGTTGCACATCCTGGTCATTGGCTCCAGACTCAGCAATGCAACCTCTATTGAGCTTATACAAAGTAAGTAAGTAAGTAAAGTTTATGTATATAGCGCCTTTCACAGACCAGGATCACCCCATGCACTTCACAATTAAAAACACAATAAAAATAGTACATATATAAGGTCAGTTCCAAAAGCAAGGATACAGAATAATGAAAACACTTCAGAAAGCCTGCCTAAACAAATAGGTCTTAAGCTGCAAAGTTGTCCACTGACTTTGCACGCAAAGACTGTGGAAGCTCATTCCCAGGACAAGGAGCCACAGTCTGGAAAGATCTGTCTCCTCGGGTTTTAAAGCGAGTGCGGGGGACCGTCCGCAGGTTCTGAGTGGAGGACCTCAGGCTCCTGTTGGGGACATAGGGGTGGATCAGGCCCTGGATGTATTGCGGCGCCTGACAATGAAGAGCCATAAAAGACTACACCAGAATTTTAGAAAATGTCTTCTGTGTGTGCCAGGGAGCCAGTGTAAGGATTTCAATATAGGAGTAACGTCGGCTCTATATGAGTGCGGGTCAAATATGAAAAAAAAACGAGGTCATCATTGAAACATTTTTGAGAAATATGAAAAATTAACACTTGAGAGTGTCATCCAGTTTGCAAATATTTGTCTTATGTATAAATGTTCCAAAATCTGGCACCCTCACCACTTTTTAATATATTTGTGAACAGGGTTAGGCTCAGATCCACCAGAGCCACATCCAGAGGAGACTGTTATGTGAACTTTAGGTCCTCCTCATTTGGTCAGAACTGTTTCTCTTTCAAAGCAGCAGTGGCCTGGAACTCTCTACCTCTGTCTGTGCGACTCAAAGATACTCAAGTCTGCTGTCATCCATCAGATGTTAAAAAAAATGTGTTGTATATATTGTGTCTCCTTCTGGTTAGAGATGTTGTATTTTACCTGTATGTTGAATGCTAATTATGCCATTCTATTGATTCATTCTTTGCACACTGTAAACCTGGTGTCACTTTGCCTCTGCCCAGAGACCACGGATAAAAATCAGCTTGTAGCTATGTCCGGCCTGAACAATACATTTGTTGTGCAATGTCCACTACATGAAAAAATGGTTCATATTAGTTCACTTGATTGGCTTATCCACAGATACTTTGTAGATTGTCATGTACACGTCATATTTTTCATGGACAAATAATAAATTGGAGTTCACATGATGGTCCATGTATATATGTTGTCTGTATATATTAATTATTTTCAAGCACGTCATCCTATCAAAGAGTAAAATGAGGCTCTCAATTGGGTTGCCAGTTTGTTAGGGGAAATGTAGCTGTGATGTTTTGTAACAAAAATCCCAAACTAATAATAGCGCCATATTTAGATTAAACCAGATACAGAAACAAGTACTCATATGAAATACACAGAGTTTACAGTTTGTTGTAGTTTCTTGCTAAACCTCAGCAGGTGGATTGCATCAGAGCTACATGTGTCACAGACAGGAAGATTCAGGCAACAAAAGTTGGATTGTAATTGTAATGACCTCTAAGAGAAAATGTTATATACTGACCATAAAAAATAAGAATTGCAAAAAATATGAAAGAGTAAAAATATTCTTGTTTAATCAGTTTTATAAAATCATCGTGCTTTGTAAAAACTTTTAAATAAATGCAGCATGTGTAGACTTCCCATCAATACATAGCAGTATTTAAATATCAGCTTTTCTTACCTAAATGAGATTACCTAAAATGACTCTTGTTTCCTGACAGTGAGTAGTATTTTGCTGTGAGGCCTGCTGGAGCTCTCCTCCGACAGGACAGCTCTTGCCCTGGGACAACTTCCGTCTCTTGGGTGTTCCTGTCTCCCCGATCTCCCTTGAGGTCCTGCACAGACGGTGGAGCTGTGGGACAATCAGCGCTGGCTGCTATAGATCTAAAAAGCTATCACGCTCTAAGTAAATTACTGTTATCTGTGGAGCGTTTGATGCAGCTGTGCCTGACGTCACAACTGAATGAAGAAGTTTAATCTTTAGAACTGCCTCCGAGCAAAAGTCTGTTCAATTTGCTGACTGCTTGCACATGCAGTGTATGTGGATTACTGCAAATACAACAGTCTTAGACCTTCATAACTTGTTCTGAGGAATAGTCTGACCCTATTGCTCTCTGTGATCCGTGGAGAGGCGATCTCACTGAGAAGGCATGTCTTCCACTAAACATTTATCTACAGCATAAATGAGACCTCTGACCCAGACTCTTTAAAGGAGCAATATGTAAGATTTTCAAGTGATCATTAAATGGCCCTAATATGTCAAAATACATTAATAAACCATGCTCTTTTTGACTACTCTGATAAGAGTAGTTCAACGGGGATATTCAAATTATAAAATTGGATTTACAGCCCCTAAATCATGTCCTGCCCCCCACCGTTTGACCAATCAGAGTCACAGTAAAGCAGAGCTAAAAAAGGTCTTGTTATGATTCTCAAATCATTAATGACAAAACAAGGAATTAAAGGAGTACTCGTGGGGCCTTTGTGAAAAAGGTGTTGGTTATAGATTTGTTATTGACAAAACTCCCAGCTGGATTTGTCTGCATATCTGGCAACCGGGTCATGGAGAGTACAGTACCACTTTTGGCCAGATTTTAACCTATTCCCACTAAGCAAGCCGACGTTGAATCAACGTAATTTGAACGTCGTTGTCCGACGTAGAATATAGGTCACTGGTGGGTGCAGAATGAAAGTTTTCTCGACGTCGTTTCCCGACGTCACCTCAACCTCCAAATGTTACGTTGATGGCACGTCAATTCAAGGTTTGAATGTGGTACGGAACCGGTCGGGTCTGACGTCCTATCAACGTCTTATATGACCAAAATATTGACGTTTATATGACGTTCGTTTTCAGTCGTTCCCACTAAGCAAGCAGATGTCAAAACTATGTCATTTCAACGTCATCTGGACGTTCATTCAAGGTTGCAATGTGGTACAGAACCGGTCGGGTCCGACGTCCTATCAACGTCTTATATGACCAAAATATTGCCTTCATATGACGTTTGTTTTCCGTTGTTCCCACTAAGCAAGCAGATGTCAAAACTATGTCATTTCAACGTCATCTGGACGTTATCTGGACGTTCAAATGACGTCGCGGCCACTTCATTCAAGGTTGCAATGTGGTACAGAACCGGTCGGGTCCGACGTCCTCTCGACGTCTTATATGACCAAAATATTGACGTTTATATGACGTCCATTTACAGTCCTATTGACATACTTAACCTCTGCAGAATCACTCACTGGTCGAGACATACTTTTTGCAATAGGCAAGGCAAGTTTATTTGTATAGCACAGTCAAAACAAAAGGAAACTCAAAGCACTGAACAAAAGATAGAAACAATCAAACAAGGCATTACAATTATAAATATTGACTGTAAATTAAAAAGAAACAAATAAAATCTCTCAGTTGAAGCAGAAACAGAAGTGTTTTAAACCTGGATTTTAACATTGTCAAAGAAGAAGCCTGTCTCACATTTCCAGGAAGACCGTTCCAGATTTTAGCCTTGTGAATCTGAAATGCAGCTTTATCATGTTTAGTTCTGACTCTGGGCAATAAACGATAAACACAGCATTCAAAAATCATTAGAACAACTGTAGTAGAAGGATATCAGTCATTATTGCAAATGGAGCTGCATTAAAAATCATGTTTCTCTACATCAAAGTACAAGTTAAAGCACACAGGGCACAGTGTTATGAACACTACTGTACTGAACACTACTGTACTGAACACTACTGTACTGAACAGTTCATGCCAAAGTAAAAAAACATGATTGTAGCGCCTATGTTTGGATCAGTATTAAAACAGGCACAAGCTACACTCTAGGTTCCCCAGATGTAAAAACACAATCTGAAAGGCAGAAGAATGCATTTATTGAATGTTGATGTTCCAACATGTGTCCTCTCTTGGTCTTCAGTCTCTCATCACAAGGTCCAAGCACAGCACCTGAAAATGTGGAACATGTTTAGTTTCAACATAATGTGGCAAAGTGATATAACAACACATAACTTTCTATTAATGCCTCAAACCACTCGATCCGTCACCATGTGATACAAACCTTGGCACTGCACTAGCTCGAGACACTGGAAGACACTCCGTCTGAGAAACTTGGGATAAGGCTTTGGTCATTGGAGTAATTCCATGTAAAAAACAATTGCAAATGTGCATTTGTTTTGCACATGGACAAATGAGCCCTGAAAGCTACTTACCCTGTATTACTCTACACATGTTGCATTTCCGAGGGGGCATTTTCCCCTTGTTGCTCTTTTCCCTCATCTTGAGTGAGTTGCTGAACAATCTGAGAAAAAGATAGATGTTTTCAAAGAGAATACACCAAATAATGGTTTATTCTAAAAACAACATAATAATACAGAAGAACAATCAATGTGTGAGAGTGTGATTCTTACCTTTGAACACCTTCAACACAGTCTGACACCTGTAAGACTCAAACACACATGACACATTAGGAATACACATAGAACATTAGTTATTGCAACAATCATGAACTTATACTCTATGGATTTCACAATAATTGACTGCATTAGCAAAGGTAAATGTATTTTAATTAACATATGGCTGGTTTTAAAGTTTATAAGAAAAAGTAAGAAATTGAATAGAGTTGCAAGCGTTAGTTAGCTTGCTACCAGCAGATGAATGGATATTTAATATTTGCAGCTAACAATAACAAAAATAACAACTGTAGTGGCTCATTTAAACAGCCACAGTGAGAAGAAGTGAAAGTCTCTGACATTGAAGACCTGGGAAGACATTAAATCAATTTATTAAACAAAGCAATACATGAACATTAAACTCTCTTTCTGCAGCAGGTAACATCTGTGTGCTCCTATGGTCCCACATGGTCCCACACCTGAACTCAACTCCAACTGATGACATCACAGGTGTCTAAATGATGGGAGTGTCCCAAATATTAAAGCTGATCTCCCTGTTTTTAAACTTAGTTTACTAAATACTGTTGTCTTTTTGCAGTTTATAAACCATTGTGAAATATACAGTAACTTTACATTTTAGAATTGAATTATTATTTTAAAACTCAAGAATCTTAACCTTTTTTAACACATACTTTGTTGGACAGTCTAACCTAAGAATTCTAATGTGTTAAAAATAGTTTGAAATATGAAAAACAATATCATATTTTAAACTTTAACTTAAAAACTAAAAAAAGGTGTCTCCCTTTCAGCTGAGCAGTGCCAGCCGTTATTATTATAGATTCATGCACTGGCAATTCAAAATACAGATAATATACAAAATATACTTAACAAAATCCACGTATACGTGAGAAAACAACTTACTTTCTGTCTCCAACTCTTTTCAATGTGGAAATGATACATCTATATCTAAAAACTGTGCAGACTGTGTACTTACTAGAGAGGATGATTCCAAGTAAATAAAGCAGGGCAGTGACAGAGATACAGATTCAACGTCATATCAACGTCTGGGAAGGCATTGCTTTACGTCCAGATTCACACCTTACGTCGTTTAGACGTGGAAAACAGGTCCTCGACCGAGCGACTCACGTGTCAGGCTGTAAAGTTATAAGTTATACTTGCGCGGCGCATAAGTGTGCGTCGGTTGTTTAGGGTGTTATTTATTAATTTTTCACAGTAGTCAGAAAAAATGCCTGGCTGTGGTGTAGCGGTTGCGTAATGAGACTTCAGTCGCAACGACGCGGGTTCAAATCCCCGTCGGAAAACTTTTGACTTTTCACTTTTTAGCGAACAATTTTTCTGTTTGGTTAAAAACGAATAAACACTCAACATAAGATTATGTAGTGGCTAATAATAAAACTTGTGAACCCATGCATTTGCATAAAATCTCAAGTGCTCACCCCATATTTGCAAACTTGAGATTGTTAGCACAACAAATGCATACATTCACAAGTTTTATTATTAGCCACTACGTAATCCTATGTTGAGTGTTTATTAGTCTTTAACCAAACAGGAAAAATTTGTTCGTTAAAAATCAAAACAAATATATAGAGATAATAATACACACACACGTGGGCTCGAACCCACGTAACCAAGACTGCACACGTTTGCTTAACCACTACACTACCGTCAGGTTCACTTATATTGCTTCACAGCCTATATATTGTATTGCTAGATCAAGACGTACTGCGTCGGTCAGCCGATGACCTGTTTTCGACGTCTAGGGGAGGTCGGGATTGAACGTCATATCCACGTATATGGGAGGTCATTGTTTTACGTCCAGATGCGCACCTTGCACAGACGTCGTTTGGACGTAAATAAAAGGTCACGACCGACCGACGCGATATTGACGTGATCTGGAGGTTGAGTGGACGTCGGATGTTTAGTGGGTTGCTTCTTTAAAGTGGTTCTCACCCCCGCTCCTCGGAGCTTACGTTACTCACATTTCCTGTTCAAATCTTCCTCTAAATGGGCGTAGCCTGGAGGACTAAAGGGGGCGTGAACGAGACTGGGCCGTTTACATTGCTCTGGGCGGGGGGCTGCTGACGTCAGGTCCAACTTGCAGACGTCAGGTCCAACTTCTGTGCCAGTGTTGGCGCCAGATTCAAAATTCAAATGTAGTAATACCGGTCGCCAGCAGATGGCGCCTCACAGACGGTTTTAGGCAGAAAGTCTAACTTTCAACTAATTTGCACCAAAGTGACAAGATTATGACCAGGATATGTAGACAACACTATTGGACACTCATTTATACCGTTTATCAGCAAAAAAAAGTGGATTTGAGGGTGAGTTGTCCTTTAAAGATGCATTATCTCACTTTATTTTTGTATGCATTACAAAAATTCAATCCATATCCATGCAGTGCATTGGGACATACGTCCTTTTGAAGAATAAGTAGCGCTGGTTTGTGCTGGACTGTCATTTTATTTAGATCGAGTTTTTGTGCAACAAGGAAAATAATTTGTTTCGGGACCAGATTGTGACCAATCACAGCGGACCACTGGCCCCCGCTTTCTTGAGAAAAGCTACAGTCTCTCGTTGACACAGGCAGCTGTGGGAAACGAGCGGCGGAGGCTAACCTGAAATTCCTGTGTCTTTGTTACCGGTTACTGCTTATTCAGCGAAACAGCCAAAAGAAAGTCTCGTTCCTCCGCGCTTCCCGGTTCTATCATTCTATGGTCACGCCATGGTCTTCCCGCTCCCTATGGACCAATGGCCTCTATATATTTGCCGTTATCTCATTTCCTGTGTTTGTTGATTCTCTGATCTTTTCTTGGCAAATTGATCAATTTGTATTATTTAGGAGCTATACAATTTTTTTTTAAAATAGAAATGTAATGTAACATTTTTCATCCAGATGATACAATCTAAAAGTAGAATCTCTCATTTGGGTTGCCAGTTTCAAAGGTTCTTTATCTGCAGACACTGGCAACATGTGATGTGCTTTGATTAAAATAGTGTAGATAAAGACAGATCCCAACTCGTGCGGCTGCGTGCTGGGTCAAAAACACAAATACAAAGACAAAGGTACAGGAGCTGTAAGGATTTTCTTAGCGGAAAAAAAAAAACTACTGCTGCAGTGCAAACCATTTTTATCTTTGTATTTTTGTTCTAATTAAAACAACCAATAAAGTATGGGCTGTTTTCTAGTGAGAAAAGGCAATTCGCTAAAAATAGTACTCAGCCAAGCCATCCGTCACAATGGTTTTTACAGACCACACATCAGAGTGAGTAAAGTCAGTTTGAATCAGTTTGTATTTTTTTTCTTCTATTATTTCTTCACAATGCACAGAATTTTGCTTCCCCTTGCACCGACAATGTATTACACTAGAACTTGCAATAAGTATGTGTTCCTATAGGGCGAGCACCAAGGGGGTGTGAATGCAAAAGTGTGTTGATTATATGTAGGGCTTCAAAATCACAGAATAATGCAAAAATTGTACCATGTGTAAGTTGTAATCTCACATCACAGGTAACAGAACAGTAGGAGAGGAACACACACAATAAAGAAAAGAAAGAAAATGGCAAGAGAATGAAATGGCAACTTCATCAAATGTAGTAATTGCTCTAGTAGCGACTCATAATCTAATATGGATTATGAGTCGTATTATTTTATTCATTTTATGTTTTGTTTTTGCTTGCGGCCCCATTTCTCAACACTGAGGAACACATTGCAGAGGCCCTGCTCACTAAAAGATATTTCTCACCATTACTTTCAGAAGAACCACCAGAGCACCAGAATCTTTTGGCTTTGACTTTTTAAAACGATTTAAAAGATAAATAACAAACTAATAAAGGTGGGAAATAAAGTCATATTTTTGATGAAGTGTTATGCTGCAGGTTACGAGGGTTGCTCAGTGGAATTTACATAAATGTAAAATGCATTATTTTATGTGCTCATAAAATAAGCGTTATCTGTGCATGTGGTTTTGTTGCCATTTTACAACGTCCAGTAAAATATTTCTCGGCAGTAAAAATCCCACCACTGAATATGGCCACACAGCCCCCACAGCCAGTTCTATGGCCATGTTATCCACATATAAGAATATTTTCTGCTTTACCCCAGAAAACAAGGTCAGAAATGAGATTAAATTGAGTCAGTCATGATGTGGGTTTGTAGGTTCAATATTCATGTCCCCACATGTATAGTCTGTGATTCAAAGATGAAGAGTGAGCCCATTTTCATATGTTCCCCACCACACTGCTCTTTACAAGCAATGAATCCAGTCACTACAAAGCAACATTTCTGGTATTTCTGGCCCACACAAATATGTGAAATGTGAAAAACAGGTTTGAACAAATTCATGTTCTTATTTAATCGTTATCAATCAATCAATCAACGTTTATTTGTAGAGCGCCTTTCCTACACAAGGCAACGCAAAGCGCTTCACATCCCCTATCACATCATGCATAAATCAAACACATTAAGAGCACAAGATATATTAAAAACATTAAAAATAAAATCACAAAAATTAAAAACCTTTAAACATTAAAATCACAGATGGGACTAAAATCCTAAATATTCACAGTGCATTAAAGGATTAAAGATAAAAACAAAGATGAAAAGATAAAATCATTCAGTTGTATATGCGCAGCTAAACAGAATTGTTTTGAGCCTAGATTTAAAAGATGCCAGAGTAGACGCCTGTCTCACATTCTCAGGAAGACGGTTCCAGACTCTAGCCGCATGAATCTGAAATGCAGTTTGCCCATGTCTAGTACCGACTCTGGGCACTAACAGGAGTCCAGTCCCTGTGCTCCTCAGAGTCCGGGTCGGTTCATATGGCACAAACATGTCGTGGATGTACCTTGGCGCGAGACCATGGAGAGACTTGTACACAAGTAAAGCTGCTTTGAAGTCTATTCTCTGAGGAACAGGAAGCCAGTGCAGAGACCTGAGAACTGGACTAATGTGGTCGTACTTCCTGGTTCTGGTCAGGACTCGAGCTGCTGCATGTTGAATGTACTGCAGCTGTTTTACAGCCTGTTTGGAGAGACCTGTGAACAAGCCATTGCAATAGTCTAACCTACTGGAGACAAAAGCGTGTATAAGAGTCTCCAAGTCTGCCTTAGACACTATGTTTTTAATTTTAGCAATGTTTTTTAGGTGGTAATAAGCTGCTGATGTTACAGATTTTATGTGGCTTTTGAAATTTAAGTCTGAGTCCATTATCACTCCTAGATTTCTGACCTGATTTGAGGGTTGTAGAGAGAGAGCCTGGAGGTGACAAATAACGCTCTCTCTCAGTTTCTGGGGTCCGAAAACAATTATTTCAGTTTTGTTTTGTTATTCTGAAATCAGATTGGAGATTTTGAAAATAAATATATACAATTTGTTGGTGGGCTTAACCTTGTATTTGTTTTTTCCCCTTTCTTACTGCTCTAAAGCACAAGCTCTTTTGTTTATGTGCTATGTAATTAAAGTACATTTCTCTTATTGTGTGATTTTGTTTTGCAATGAATGATATGGAAAATGATAGTGCCTTTCTGCACAATGGGAACTCCTGTCCCTTATTTCTGGTTCTGTTGTTGTGTTTATTTATTTAGAATTCAATGCACATCAAACATTAATTATCAGATGTCACTACATAGAATTTTAAAATCATTCATTACAATTACTACTTATTATAATATTGTACATTATTCACACTTGAAAAGGAGTGGGAGGAAAACAAATGGTATACATGTTGTCGGCTTAAAAGAGTCGGCTTCAATGCATTTATTGATTATTATAGTTTTGCAGTGTAAGATGAATTACAGAAGCAAATAGACTTTGAACAACATTTTAATTTTTCCGAGTTCCACCTGTATTTATGTTTTGATGCGCTGCCATGGGCCAGACAAAATGATAATCTCCTCTTCATTATATACATTATTACTACTTGTACTTGTCCATGTATCTGCAGCACACTCCAGGACAAAACCACCTCTTTGAGTCTAGTGTGGGTCCAGTGTGGGTCCAGTCTGGTTCCAGTCTGGGTCCAGTGTGGGTCCAGTGTGGGTCCTGTCTGGGTCCAGTCTGGGTCCAGTGTGGTTCCAGTCTGGGTCATGACTCTCTGACCTGTTATTTGTTGATCCTCTCGCTTGCAGCAGGTCAGAGTGAGCGCGTGCAGCAGGCCCGTGAGTCTCTGCTGGAAGGACACTCATTTAGCAGATGGATGGGGCGCTTTATTGCCTGCCACCTCTCCAGCTCAATGCTCCCTCTTCTTCTTTCCTATTTCCTCCTTTGCTCCTCGCTTCCCTTTATCGGCCTAACATTGCACTGTACAAGTCAGAAAGAGGACTGCAGCTATAGCATTGGGCCATATTGACACATTGTGAGAGCCGAATCTGAGATAAAAATAACAGGTAGCTGCTAAGAGACTGAAATGTTATTTTTTTCCTTGTTTAATAAATGCACTTGACTGGATTACGCCTCCCTGGTCTTCAGTGTCAGAAAATGTTCACATCTGGTTCACTGTGGCTGTTTTTAAAGGAGCCACAACACACATATTGAATTGTTTTTGGTGTATTCAGAGAGACGAATTGATTTGGAAATACGTTATTTGTGTTAAACGTGCCCTAAAGGTGATGCGTTTTGAAATCTGCATGTAAAAATGCAAGAAATGTGAACTGTGCCTCTGTAAGGGTGTGGGTCAAAGGGTCAAATGGCTCCTTTAGTTTAAAAAGTACATGCTAGACTTTGCATGTATTTAATACTACAAAACAATCATTGCGACCCATTTTGTGGACATAATGTGTTGTCAAGAGCCAAACTGTACGCTACAGCACAAATGACAGCACAAACTGTTTTTAGCAAATGATCTAACGTGCAATTTGTCTGACTGATTTTGTTCGGTGTACATTGGAGCATTCATATTAGGTGAAGACAGATTGTGGCTTTTTGTTTATTTATTTCTACGGTCATTTGCCAACAACAACAACAACAACAACAACAAATAAGTAACTAACAGGCACACCAAATTTTACATTAAAAAATTGTCAATTTTACAGACCGAAAAGGTTTAGGCCGAATCCAGCCATCCATCCATTTTCCTCCCCTTAATCCACTTCTTGGTCAGAGGGGGGGGTGTCTTGCCCATGGACACAACGACAGCGGACATCAGTGGGAGTCGGTGGAGAAGGTCTTGTGGTGGGCTTGAATCCACAACCTTTAGGCTCAAGGCCCAATGCTCATACCAACTGAGCCCCTATCGCCCCTGAGTTTAGGCAGAAGATTTAGTTATCTTGCCTAACCCTATTTATAAGTAGTTTACCTACATAATCACATTCAAACATTAGAAATCAGTTCCAAAAATCACAAAGTCCTGCCAAAAACACTGTCAATACATCAGGCGTTCACTAGAACCGGGGTATCGCTTCCTTCTGATACTGCCCCCTGGGTGCTAGTAGGTGTGGGTGCTAGTAGGTGTGGGTGCTAGTAGGTGTGGGTGCTAGTAGGTGTGGGTGCCAGCAGGTGTGGGTGCCAGTAGGTGTGGGTGCCAGTAGGTGTGGGTGCCAGTAGGTGTGGGTGCCAGCAGGTGTGGGTGCCAGTAGGTGTGGGTGCCAGTAGGTGTGGGTGCCAGTAGGTGTGGGTGCTAGTAGATGTGGGTGCCAGTAGGTGTGGGTGCCAGTAGGTGTGGGTGCCAGTAGATGTGGGTGCCAGTAGGTGTGGGTGCTAGTAGGTGTGGGTGCTAGTAGGTGTGGGTGCTAGTAGGTGTGGGTGCTGTGGTGTGTGGAGTGCTGCATATTTGTTGAACCTGAAGATCATGACCCAATCTTCTAGTCCGAGCTCCCTCTGAGTGAAACCTGCCCTCCTCCATTGCTGCCCCTTGTTTGTGTGTTTACGTTGTTTTATTATACAATTTATTCATTTAGGTTAATTCATTTTGGTTAATTAACTGGTAGTCTTCCTCACTACTCTTTTAATGAACCAATGATTGCAATATTTCTACATACAGTCCATGCACATGGACAGTATAAGTATGCTAAAACACAAGCTTGCTTTGTCTTGTATGTTTAGTCATTTGTGTCCAGATCTATGCATTCAAAGAACAAGGTTTGAAAAGCTGCAGCCAGCAGGCTGCACGTAATATAATAAACTACGGAAATACAAGAATCCATATCTTTCAGAAAAACCTTTCAGTCCAGATCTCTTTGTAGGAATATATTATGAGATTTTATGCTAATGCGACGAGCTTAAAATCTCCTTGAAAAACCTAAATTAAGAAATGTCTCTCTTAAGATTTGAGAAGAAGGATAATGCTGCACTTAAAAGAAGTTACATTTGCATTAATCAAAAACTTAACTTAGATCTTTTGTCATTTTGTGATGTGCAAAGGACCTAAACAATAGCAGTCTTTGCTATTTCCTAATTTGCCAAATTGCTTTTCCATTGTGATTAATCTTGCAGCCGTCGTACTGTAAATGTCATATATATTATTGTTTGCTGTTCTTTACTGATTGTTTTGCTCACGCACACAAACGCACAACATCCACTGCTGTTTCGCTGCTATTTCGGCGCTCGTCAGTGTCTCGACATGCAGAGAGGCAAACAGGCAAATAAACGCCGCAGTTCAGCAGGGAATCAATTAATGAGCTTATTTGGAAATTAAATAATGTACTTGTGCTGCGGTTGTGTTTCTGTAAATGTTGTGCGATGTTGTGTCAAATGTACAGTGCCTTGCAAAAGTATTCGGCCCCCTTGAACCTTTCAACATTTCGCCACATTTCAGACTTCAAACATACAGATATAAAATTTTAATTTTTTGTCATAAATCAACAACAAGTGGGACACAATCGCGAAGTGGAACAAAATTTATTGGATAATTTAAAACATTTTAACAAATAAAAAACTGAAAAGTGGGGCGTGCAATATTATTCGGCCCCTTTACTTTCAGTGCAGCAAACTCAGTCCAGAAGTTCAGTGAGGATCTTTGAATGATCCAATGTTGTCCTAAATGACTGATGATGATAAATAGAATGCACCTGTGTGTAATCAAGTCTCCGTATAAATGCACCTGCTCTTTGATAGTCTCAGGGTTCTGTTTAAAGCGCAGAGAGAACCATGAAGACAAAGGAACACACCAGGCAGGTCCGAGATACTGTTGTGGAGAAGTTTAAAGCCGGATTTGGATACAAAAAGATTTCCCATGCTTTAAACATCTCAAGGAGCACTGTACAAGCAATTATATTGAAATGGAAGGAGTATCAGACCACTGCAAATCTACCAAGACCCGGCCGTCCCTCCAAACTCTCATCTCAATCATGGTTTGGGCCTGCTTTTCTTCAGCAGGGACAGGGAAGATGGCTAAAATTGATGGGAAGATGGATGGAGCCAAATACAGGACCATTCTGGAAGAAAACCTGTTGGAGTCTGCAAAAGACCTGAGACTGGGACGGAGATTTATCTAAGCCAAATCTACAATGGAATGGTTCACAAATAGACGTATCCAGGTGTTAGAATGGCCAAGTCAAAGTCCAGACCTGAATCCAATCGAGAATCTGTGGAAAGAGCTGAAGACTGCTGTTCACAAACGCTCTCCATCCAACCTCACTGAGCTCGAGCTGTTTTGCAAGGAAGAATGGGAAAGAATTCCAGTCTCTCGACGTGCAAAACTGATAGAGACATACCCCAAGCGACATGCAGCTGTAATTGCAGCAAAAGGTGGGGCTACAAAGTATTAGGGCAAGGGGGCCGAATAATATTGCACGCCCCACTTTTCAGTTTTTTATTTGTTAAAAAAGTTGAAATTATCCAATAAATTTCGTTCCACTTCACGATTGTGTCCCACTTGTTGTTGATTCTTGACAAAAAAAATTTTTTTTTATATCTTTATGTTTGAAGTCTGAAATATGGCGAGACGTTGAAAGGTTCAAGGGGGCCAAATACTTTCGCAAGGCACTGTATGAGACAAGAAACGCTGTTACAAGTTCAAATAGCAGACAGGTGCTCTTTGGCAACACACTTCACCCACATTGCCTGGTATGAGTTTGCCGTGCGCATGGAGGATTGGAGGTGCATGGTCAGTAAAAAAATTTTGTTAGTTGGTGGAAAACATAATTATTGGGTGTTTTAACCAACTACAAAGCAGATTGGTTAAAACAACCAAAAAAATTGTCATGTATCATGACATGACAATGTATCATGATCTTATTTCAGCCTCTTTACTTGCTCACATTTATTTATTTTATTTTATTTTATTTTATTTTATTTTATTTATTTTATTTATTTTATTTATTTTATTTATTTTATTTATTTTATTTATTTTATTTATTTTATTTATTTTATTTTGAACACCATACAATAAAACTGAATTAACAATTTACAACAGAATTCAACCTTCATTCAGACATTGTCATTTTATTTTCTTCTTAAAAACATATATCTATTATTGGTTTCCCTTGATGCCATAGACAGCTGATTCCAAGCAGCATAACACCACACTGTCCGAATTTAAAGGGACAGGGTCTGTTATTTTTTTCATTTCAAATTACTCGGAAACGCAGAATGTGTCTCTCATTTGGGTTGCCAGTTTGCTCGGTGATATTTAACTGGTTTTGTTCTTATCTTCTTTTCGTTGTAAAACAAATCGAGACAAGAAAATGAGCGTAAATTTAAACATGCACTTTTTACATACACACTATTCAAGTTTGAGTGGATTAAAAAAAATCACAAAATCTCCTTTTAAATAATACACCATGCAGCTAAACAAAATGCACCAAGAAAACAATTATAAACGCATCTTCGATTACAATGGTAAGAGCCGTCCAAGCAACAACAGAAACACTCCAAAAGCCACGGGTTTCTCCTTTAAAACTCCAATCACTGCCACACAGGAGCCAGAAGTGGGATTCCAACTGGAGATTGGACGTTGGTACATTTGCGATGCAGCGGTGGTAACATAGCTCATGCATAAGTAAGGCCCACACTGATCACACACTCCGCACGTATCGGACCACCAGCCGGACGCTCTGAGGATATGATAAGAAATTCATATGGGACGAGAAGAAGACTGCAGCTGACATACGCACTCTCGTGGATATTATGGTGAGGAGGTTAATACAGGTC